TAGAACTTACAATATTGCAAATATTTTACATAGAACTACCAATGTTACTTACAAATATCTTACCTAGAACTATCAATGTGGCAAATATTTTACCTGGCGCTACCCATGTTGCAAGTATTCTTCTAAAAGCTTAGCACTGCAGTCCCAGCTGTTGACTTCCTCAGGCTTTGGCTGCTTGGGTTTACTGTCCTTCTTTGTGTGACCCTGTTCCTCATTGCTTCTCTCACCAGAGGAGGCAGTAATCATGCTTGCCTGTCTTGCTCTGCCTGAGTCTTTAACTTTGTTTCCCTTCTTCTTTGATACCATTCTTCTGGCTTTTCTTTTGAAGCCTGAAGCTATAAAAACTTTAGGGAAGGAGAGTTCTTTAGAAAAGAGCGACAAACAACTCTTGAGTAGGGACAGAAGTTGGTACAGGGTCGAAGTCATGGGCATAGCAAGGATGGAAAAAACTAGAACTTGGTGCTACAGAAAAAGGGGTATCTTTACTATAGTACATTTGAGTAGCTTATATGGAATTTTCTTGTACTTTGCTTTTACAGTTCCCTTCATTTCTTGATCTAAGCAGGCACACTGACACATTCACCCATAATTCATCCTGGGTAATTGGCAATATTTACAACTGCAAAATATACAGCAGATACACACCTCAGTTGAATAATAGGAGTTTTTTATCCTGGGGATCTTCTACATATATAGTATATCCTGTAAGGGGTTTTTATACTAAGTACAATGATAATCTATTAAGGCAATTTTTTGTATGCACTTTGGAAAATTAATTTAATAATTATAATCATCAGGAGAACAATTTCTAGTAGGTGTTGCTTTAGTAGTAGTTGTGTAAGTGGTTGGGTTTGGAATATTTCAGATCAAAGTCATTTCCCACCCTCTTTAGCATGCCTGAAAATATGGAGACCAAATGTTTTAATTTGATTATTCTGAACTACTGTTTGTTCACCTTTAAAATTTAATGTATACTTTTCCACTGTTGATTTCCCATGGTGCAGTGAGTTCAAACAAACTGTTAGATTTCCTTAACAGATGGTTTACTCCACCCCAACCTGCCACTTAGTCATAATCATTCATCCTATTTCTTTTCTGCATCCTCTGTACAGGTCCAGAGCTAAGAATATTAGCATCACAAGGCATGAGACTTCTGCTACTTCCAACTCATCTAGTCTAATTTTAACACCTAAACTATATATTTTAGACTGAATAATAATACATACAATATTTCCCTAGCTCCATATCAGACAGTATTCCACATGAATCAGAGAAAGGAATGATATTTGTTAAATAGGCTGTGGAGAAATTGTAATATTTATTCAGCACCGTGTATCCTTTGTTGTGAAACTGACAGTGCCGGAAGGTTAGCGACTTATACAAAGTTGGGCTGTGAACCCTGTTGCTACTGTGGCTAGCCAAGGGCAGGAGTGCAGGCATAGAAAGGTTTGGATCTTTGAATTTAAGAATGATTAAAGTCTTTTTCTCTGAAAACAAACAAAGTGATATTAAATATCGCTAACTATATGCCTAGGAGCCACACATCTGGTTTTGGAATCACTGTGTGTTCACATTTACACTGTTTTCCAGTTTCAGGTAGGCAAAGAAAGAGTCTAAGTAAGTTGGCTATTTTGTCAAACATGTCAGACAGTGAAGACACTCTCAAAGGCAAATGAGGAAAAGAGTCGTTCTTATGGTACAGACAGACAGACCGAGATGCTCTGGAGTAGCATTGGCTGCTAAGTCTACTCACAGAGGAAATATTAGGGAGATTTCCAATGCCCATTTGGTTTTCTGAACTTACCCATTTAAAAGTCCTACTCGCTGCCACATGCCATTGGGCATTAGTCAAAATATCCCAGTGAACTCAGAAAAACAAACCTTTCAAATGACCTTTCTAGAAATAAGAAATACACAAATGACTGATGGTTTTTACACAAATAATGACAAGCTTGTCTATTTTCTGGTTCTCGTGATCTAGTGATTGTCCTATGATTGAAGTTCTGTGTTACAAGTAAATGCCACAGTAGAAATATTGCCACTTCACAGCAGGATGTGATGCAAAACAAAAGATCAGTACAATCCTTCCACATAAAACATAGCTGGGCGACTCATTTAAATATGATTAACAGGAACTAATTAGCATCAGTCCTAGAACAGGTCTTCTAATTCTTCACTGGCATGGGAAATGTGTTGAGAGAATAAGAAATTATGTGGCATATAATCACTTAGTAGATACCCAGCGGGCATTACACTTCAGCTGGTTCTGGGAGTGTCCCCGTAGCTACGGGAAAGGAACATTGCTTCCTGTCCTTGGTTTGATATCCTAACCCTGAACGAACATCTGATTAGATATTATATGACAGGGGAATACTTCAAGGTATTAAATGCATGGAACAAAAAAATCTTCACTTGATGACTGCAATATTCCTGTTAACTCAAGACAATGAAGGAAATTAGCCAGAGTGGAATGAGAGGAAATACAAATCACCTCTGAAAATGCGGCATTCTTAGCTGTAAGGTAAGAAAATGTACAGGGATTATGAGAGGGTTATGAGTCAGGAAAAGTGAGCGAAGTTGATTTCAGTTTGAAGGAACAGGAACAAGTTGAGATCTATGAATGTTTCATGCAGCAATTTTACTTCACCTGATTTGTATGTAAGTCATGAAAACGGAGTGGAGTTTTTTTTCTCCTATGAAAGCTGGAGGCAAATTTGGCTTAAAGCCTGGAAGAATAGAGCACTGGGGGCTCTCAGATTCTGCTCTGGAAGCGAGTTTTGTGCTTATATTGTTGAAAGATCATCTTCCTTCTGTCATTCCCAATGGCTAAATGACAAGGGCTATTTCAATTTTTTGCTAGTAATGCTGAATAATTCAGATCATTGTTAAACTTCATAATGTCATTTTTGTCAGATATATCTAAACTTACCAGATTTCCACTAATGTTAAGGACTAAACCACTAAACTACTAATTGTGTTTATCTACTCAACTCTAACCTGGGATATATTAGTTATATAAACTAAAGCTTCATTTTAAAAATAGTCCACAGAGAAACCACACATACACTGAGCATTTTACAGAGCTGATTGACTCATTATAACTTTAGAGAAGTTGGATTTTGGAAGTCAAAATTAAATACCTTGAGTTATCTTAGCCAATGACTCTTTATTGTCCATGTTATGAGTGAACTGTGGGAAAGAAAACAGATCCTTACCTTCTACCAATCTAAAACCCAAGGACACCATCAGATAACATGGGAGGCCTATGGCAGTTTCCACTTTACTCTAGCTGCCTGCTCAGTGTTTTCACTGATGCATTTAAAAAGTGTCTTGATTGAGGACTTTCTTTGTTTTGTGACTAAAAACCTTCAGGAGGGGGCTGGAGAAATGGCTTAGAGTTTAAAAACACTTGCTGTTCTTGCAGTATCCACATGGCATTCACAACCCTCTTTGGGCAGCAGGCACTCCTGAGGTGCATTGCTATATGTGTGTATACATATACATAAAATGAATCTTAAAAGAAACTATTTCATCACTATCCTTGTTGGAATATGGTTTTTGGGCAATTTAAATATGCAGTCCTGGGTCAAGGTCACTCAGAGTTCTTTCCATATTAAACTATTTCTCATTCTATTTGAGGTGAGAATTGTAATTTTTCTATGTTACCAGTCATTAGTTATGAATATAGTTTAATTGATGTATGACCTTTCCCCCTTGTCACTGGCAATGACGCTAAAATTTCCCCATATTATCCTCACTGTTCTATTTCTCAGGACATAAGGGGTAGAGCACCATCAGAATTACAATTACTAGTCCTTTAACTTGCATCACTTTGGTTCGTAGGATAATACTGTCAGTCATAAAGTCTCTAGGCACAGCATCACCTGGCAACAATAAAGAAAATGACATCAAAACCTATTAACTGCTAGCTGATTTTTATATATCAAGATTAATTAGATGGCAAGAGGAAAATATCAGAATAATTACTAGAACAGTTGGCATTAAGAAAACCGAACAAATGTATATCTTGGAACTTTTTAAAATTTAGAATTCCCAGCCATGCCATATGCTCCATTATCCTCTACTATCCCCTGGAATACACCTACAGCATTAGCATAATTTATACCATTGCCATTAGTTATGATAAACACACAAGAATTTTGATGTAAAAAGTCGAGTCAACATTCATATAAGTGCAAAGTAGGTCTGCATCATTGGCTGTGGTGAAGGATGACAGCTCTAAACTTCACTGAATGATAGAAAGAAAGGATTTATGATAGGGATGCATGAATATCTCATAAAAATTTTTACTAAATTCTGAAATTGAGGTTTAGAATGTGAGATATGCTATTTCATATTTTTTGTCAGTTTATTATTTTTAGAGAGGACTGACTTTCAATTTCTTTTTCTTTCCTTTTTTTTTTTTTTTTGGTATTTAGAGACAGTCTTTTTCTATGTAACAGCCCTGGCTGTCCTAGAACTTACTTTGTAGACCAGGCTGACCTTGAACTCTCAGAGATCCACCTGCCTCTGTCTCCCAAGTGCTGAAATTACAGGCATCCATCACCAAGCCTGATTTGAATTTTAATCTCAAAATTTTCTTTCAAGTTTTTTTAGTATCTGGCTTTTCTTCAAATCGTTTTCCTTTAGTGAAATGGAACCTTAATTAGATCTCTATAGACTTGTCCAATTCCTCTTTTTGTCAGCATACTGAGTTTTCAGTTCTCTTTTGTGGTCCATTCCAAGCAGCAAGGTTACTCTAGTTCTTGCTTATGCAAACTGTATGCTAAGTGGGTACTTGGGGGTGCAAGCCTTTTACCCCGTTTTGATTCTATTTCACAGCACTAGGTGTCACAGATGTTCTTCCTGCATTGCAAAGAGCCACTTGCATTTATTCCCCATGCCTTTGAAAGTATTCAGTTTGCATTATTTCTCTATAAACTGTGAGGAGAGTTCTATTGCTCGCTATGGTGATGGAGGAGTGTACTTGGGATACCTACCAGCAGGAATCCTGGGGGGCAGAGATCCTCCCGCTGTCACTGGCTGTGGGGCCTGGATGCTGTTTAGAAACCCAGCCCTCAGGAAGCTGGGGCAGAAGGCTTCCATGCCAATTGCTGGGAAGGATCCTTGGAAAAAATAAAAAAATGTTGTTAATTAAAGGCTTACTCATGGAAAATTTAGTAATTGTTTACATGCAATTAAACTTATAGTCAATAATAAAAATAAATCTCATTTCAAATCTCATTAATGTTTTAATTCTAAAATTCAAGTATTGGGATATACTTTTTCTCAAAAATTTATAAGACAATTCTATTACATTTTAAAGAAAGAAAGCTCCACTTAGCTAGCTATAATTTTTTTATATAAATAAATTCTGTGTATATTAGTCAAGGTTCTCTAAGGAAACAGAACTGTGGAATGTGTGTGTGTGTGTATTTACATATATATTGGATTTTTTAAAATGTCTTCTTACATGCTGTGTTCAACAGTCCAGCTAGTACAATAGCTGTCTATAATGGAAGGTCCAAGAATCCAGTAATTGTTCCATCCACAAGGCTAGATGTATCAGTTGGTCTTCAGTATATACCAGAATCCCAAAGAAATAGGCTCTAATATCAGTGAAGGAATAAACTTGCCAGCAAGAGCAAGCAGGCAAAGAGTAAAAGGTTTCTTCTTCCATATTCTTTTTTTTTCTTTTTAATTTTATTTAACTAACATATTTTTCCATTTATTTTACATACCAATCAGTTTTCCCTCCCTCTTCTTCTCCCATCCCCTCCACTTTCCCACATACCCCTTTCCCATTCCCATCTGCTCCTCTTCCCTCTCAATTCAGAAAGGGGTAGACCTCCCATGGGCTTTCACAAAGCACGGTACATCAAGTTGGGGCAGGACCAAACTCCTCTCCTTCTGTTCAGGTAAGCCAGCATGGGGAACAGGTTACCAAAAGTCAGCTAAGCACCAGGGAGAGGTCCTGCTCTCACTGTTAGAAACCATACTGAGAGACCAAGCTATGGGATTGTCACACAAGTGCAGAGGGCATTATCATCTTGATTCATTATCTAACTATAATTAAAGATTTAAAAGTAGCAGAATACTATACTATAATAAACCATCCTCCCCCCCCCCCTCTCTCTCTCCCCCTCAGAAGGAGCTTCCCACGTAACCTTAGCTGGCCTGACTGGAACTCTTTCAGATCAGGTTGGCTTCAAATTCATAGAAATCCACTAGGCCTCTGTCTCTGCAGTACTGGCATTATAAGTTATACACTACTACACTCAGTTCAAGATTTCCAAATCTGCATTTAGTTCCAAGAGTCAGGCCATGGAATGGTGCGGCAGATATGAATATATGTCACGTCATTTGTATTACCCACATCTACATGAATGATAAAGATGAAGAATAATAAAGATATTGTCCCAATAGAATCTGAAACCCATGCTGCACCAAAAAGAAAGAATCCAGGAGTAGACCAGAGAGTACTCTGTCAAAACTTCAAAGAACAGTGAAAAACATGTTTTTTTCTTGTGACTGCATAGCATATTCATCACGGATCACAAATAGCTCCTGTGTAAGGTCTCCCCCAAATGTATTTTCTGTCCTGCTGTGTACTTCATCATTGCTGGACAACACAGTCACTAATGGTGCCATTTCACTTGATGCCAGATGGGTGTTATCTTATATATGCACATAACATTTTATTTAAGGCCACAAAAGAAATGATATTGTTATAACAGAAAAATATTGTAAGAAGCACAGATTTTATTATATGTCATGAAAACTAAAACAGTTCATTTTAGCTGACAATGGATTTATTAAACCTGAATAATAGAAAGATTGGTTCAAGTATGTTAGACCTCAAGAAAAAGAATAACTTATTCACACAGAAAAACAAACAAAAAGATATAAATGAAACAACCACAGAAGCAACTTAGAACAAAGCCGTCTAGAGCAGTGCTTCTAAGCAGTGAAAATACATTGCACATTTCAAGATGTTGTCTCATTTTTACTACTTTTGACAGCACCATAGGAAACTACCAATTTAGAAAAGATGCTCATTATTTTAACTCCTTGAAAAGAACTAAATACAAACATTACTTCATTGCTATGATTACATTTATTACTGTGCGCTGTTGTGACAGCTGTCATATCTAATAGCAACTTTCATTCTTCTCAACTTACTGCACCTTTCATGATGGCTTTTTTTCTGTTTCTTTACCACGGTTAAAAAGGTCTTTAGTTTATTGCAGTGTCTGTTTCTTAAAATACTATCACCTTATGTAAAGGCTAATAAAACCCTGTAAAAGTGCTGTGCATGGATACATATTCTGCTGAAATCAGGCATTATGTGATAACCACACTTTATCATTTCTCTTCACTCATAGGGAATCAAATTTAAGGACTTGTTATAGATGGGATATACAATGCCCCCACAGGTGTTTGTTTTCACCAGCCTGTTCCTTGCTGGTGGGGTTATTAGGGAACTTTCTAGAAATTTCAGCAGGTGGCACTTAACTGGAGGAAGGGGATCGCTTGGAGCAAGTCCTTGGGGGATATCTTATCCTTGGACCTTTGCTGTCTCTCTCTGTTTCCTACACACCAACAGATAAAAGAATAGCCTCTGCCATAAGTTCCAGCTAACAGGACATTCTATCTGAGAACATGGAGCTAGGCTGAAATCCTTGAACCCAAATAAATCACTCCTGTCTTTAATTTCTTTTCTTTGGATGTTGCCACCGCCACACTAGAAGTCACCAACACAGGTTTGATGTGAAATGATTTTAACAGGCTCAGTCAATTGCTCCAGTTGCTCATACTCTTGACTTTTATTTTTTAATTGTGAGACGTATTAATAATTTATTTTATATCTAAAGTTGCAATGTCCAAAATCTATAGCAGGAGAGTTGTCATTTTTTGAACATTTGGTTTTAGTTATACTCAGTGGAGTAAGCATTTATTAAATATTTATAACATGAATACTTGCATTTCTGGCTTGTTAGTATCTTGAGTCTTTCATTAGAACAGTGGTTCTCAGGGTCAGTGGCACATGCACACTTATGACATCATAAATTAGGATGGTGAAGTTATTATTGGTGCTTAATATATAGAGGGTTGGGGCCTTGCAATATATAATGTACTGCCTTGAAAAGAAAAACTGTCTCTATAGGCTAGTAGCATCCACTGTAAAACATTATGCTGTAGTGAAATATGATTATTACAGAAGAGGAGGCAGAAAGATTGTAAGAGTCAGAAGACCAAGATGTCTGTTGCAAGCGTATGTCTTCCATATATGATAGGGAAGCTACACCAATGAAATTTCAAAAATATAGTTATCAAAATTAGACCTGCATAATGACAAGACTGACTGATTTGCAACCACATATGGGGAAAGCTCACAGGATGCCACGCGTAGGTGAAGAGCTATGGGTTATTAATGGCTGCCGAAAGAGGGACACAGTCTTCTCCAGGGGCTAACTTTCTAACAAGTTATTCAGTCTCACGTGGTCATCACTAAACACATGTACATTAAACATTACTACTAAATGTACTCTGCAGGTTTTATGAGCATGCATATGCATGCATGTGTGTGCATATTTGTGTGTGAGTATGTTTGTATGTAATAAAAGATGAAGAAAGGTCACGGATTTGAGACGGTGTCAAGGTGAAGAGCAGAGGAGTTGGATGGGAAGACAGAGGGGTACAGATGATATGATACAATACTTGTATATGAAATTCTCAAAAACATTAAAGATTTGTTTTCTACTAGTGTATATAATGAGGCAACACCCCAAAATGGCCAAGTTGACATGGCCTGCATCTGACATCTGACTTGATAACATAATTGAGAGTTACTTATGTTTTTATGACTGAAAGTTAGCTGGCCTGCAGGGTAACTATTTTCAATAATTAGAACATATTTGGTGCAAACTCTATGAAACAAAATCTCATTTCTAAATTGATATTGCAGCAATGTCTCTGGAACGACTTTGCATTAAAAATTAGGTGTCACTGGGTATTTGTGTAAAAGTAACACACAGTGGCAGAGAACTCTGAGCTTCCACTTCTTCATTTCTAAAATGAAAAGGTAATGGATGACACCTCCTAGGGCTCATTTTCAGGATTTAATTGAAGCAAATCATCACATATATAAGGCAGTGCTATCATCTCACTATTATTATACTAATTTTAAAAAATGCTTAAGGAAGGAAATAAAGAAAAAGATTGATGAAATTTTGTGACTCCTCCTTCTGTGTACATTCATAAATCCTTAATTAAAAAAATTAAAATCCATGTTTAAACACTACATGTCAGTCATTTATTTTTATGCTAAAATGTTAAACAATAACACAACCATTTGTTATGCAGTTTCTTCATAGTACTTTTGCTAAGTGACAGTTTTGCAAGCCATCACTATGATCTATGTGTAGAAATCCAAAATGCTGACTTAAAGACGAGTACTCCAGAATTGAACTTAAGAAACATGTTCCCATGCATGTGGCAAAAATACAGCGTTTTGTAATGATTATAGAAGAATGTGTTATTCCTATATAGGTGTTCTCAACCACATATACATGTTAGGAAAAGTAATAAAGCCCAAGGGGCAAGCATATTATGGAGTGTCTACACTTTCAGCTCTTGAAATGAATTTTTTATCAAATATATTATGACAAGGAAGCATTAAGTAATCAGATATAAATAGAAGAGACTATACACATTAATAAATATTAAAAATAAGGATTTACTAATAACAAATAGTTACAAATAAGTGGCATTTTATATGTACCTCTGTGAATTGCTATTATATTGTCAAAATAAAATGAATGAAATTAGATGTTAAATTATTAAAATCCACTTTTATATCCTTCCTTCCATTTTTCCTTCCTTCGTTATTCCTTCGTTTATTCATTCGTTCGTTTGTTCATTCCTTCTTTCCTTCCTTCCTCTCTCTCTCTCTCTCTCTCTCTCTTTCAACCCTTTCTGGCCTCCAACTCACAAAGATCTGCTTGCCTAACTGCCTCAAAAATGCTGGGATTAAAAGTGTGTACCACCAAACCTGACTCTATATTCTGTATTTTAGAATAGCACAATAATATAATAACACAATGAAGTAATTTGCATCTATGAA